GAACTGCGTATCAGTCAAGCCAGATCCCTGCTGAGAGAATTCCTGGCATGACCTCACTTATCTGTGAGAACACAGAGTAATCTTTATTGAGACGTATACACTCACCCACTTGTCCAGAACAGTCAGACCTTCGCATTTTAATGATTTCCTTCTGCTACGAATGTGTAATTGTCTAGTTATTTGCTTCTTAAGGCAGACATTTACCTTCCTCCTCCACCACTGGAGGAGATCTGGGATCATAAAGATGATTGATTTGACCCATTCTTCAGGGAGGGTTTCCTGTGGCCCTCTTCCATCATCATATCTGGAATCAGATGAGTTTCTGTAGTTTTTTCCCTTTTTCACATCTTGTTAAAGCAGAGTTTTGAAAAACAAAACCACAAACTTGGTTATTCCTTAGAAGAAGTCTGTTATTAATATAGTCTCCACAGAGACTCATTGCAATTGTCCAACACTTGTCCATTCGAGATGTAAACCATCTTCCCTCCCTTGGCTTCAGAGCTACCAAAATGAATTGTTAAACAAGTAACTCAATTTAAGAATTTAAAGTTATAAAGAAGAAGGATGGTTTGGATCGTAAGTGTGTCCTCCAAAGCTCATTTTTTTGAGACAAGGTCTTGCTATATAATGCAGACTGGCCTTGAACTTGCTATGTAGCCTAGGCTGGTTTTGAACTCCCAACAATTCTCCTGCCTCAGCTTCCCAAGTACAGGGATTACATGTATGTGTCAACATGCTTAGCTCCAAAATCTCATGTGTGGAGGTTTGGTCCCCAGCTGATGTGCTGGTAGGAGCTAGTAGGACCTTTAAAAGATGGGCCCTGGTAGAAGGAAGTCAGGTCACAAGAGAATCAGTCCTCAGGTCATGTTGGGGCTCGGACCCCTCCTTTTCTCTCTGCTTCCTGGCCATCATGAAGTCAGCAGCTTTGCTCTTCACACTTTTATGCCATAGTGTTTAGTCTCACTGAGGGCTCAGAACAACAGCCACTTACCATAGACTGAAACCTCTGAAACCAGGAGACAAAATAAAATTTTCTTCCTTTTATGTAGTTTTATTTCAGCTGCTTTGTCACAGCAACAGAAAGCTGACTTCAGAAAGAAGAAAGTGAAACCCTTAGTCTTGAGCCACATCTCTTCCTTCCCCTTCTGGGTTCTCTGTCTGACCTCTTACGTCTGTCTGGTTCCCTCTCCAGCCCTGAGGGTCCTCTGCGCTACCACTGAGCCCAAGGCTGCAGACCTGCTACTAGGCCTTACCTTTCTTAACCCCAGAGCCCGGTCTCCACCTCCAGTTATGTTCTGAGTGATAACTGCTAAGCAAATGCCCCACCCCTGTGTGGGTCCTTGATAAAACCCCAAGAACAAAATGTTACCCCAGCCACCCCTGGATTATGGATGTTGCCTATGGAGGCCATTTGTCCAGAACTCAGATCATTACCTTTGGTCTGAAATTATGGAGTTTGTTCTCAAAAAAAAAAAAAAAGTCACACTGTTACAGGCTGAAGTATGTTCACCCAGAAATATGTGTGAAGCTGCAATTCCCTAAACCCTTAAATGAAACCTTATTTAGAGATAGGGTCTTTGTGAAGACAATCAGTTCAAATGAAATCCTTAAGGTAGATCTTAATCCAGTATGCCTGCTATCCTCAGTCAGACAAGAAATGTGGGCACAGACACAAAGTGGGAAGATTGTATAAAGAGACAGGCAGAAGACTGGAGTGACCCTGGTGCTAACTACAGATGCCAGCAGACACCAGGAGGCAGAAGGGACATGGAAAGATTGTCCCATGGAGTGGCCCTCCTGACACCTGCATCTCAGACTTCCAGGCTCCAGAACTGTGAGGCAGTAAGTGTCTGTTGTTTTAAGCCACACATTTTTGCCTGCTTAGTTATGGCATCCCTGGGAAACTAATCAACATGTAAGAATGCACTCTTTGGAGTTTGGACAGGAGAGTCATACAGTTCAAAAGTATACCAAAGATAAAAGATACAATGCATAAAAAAGAGCAAACTGTTGACACATGCAACAACTTGAATGATGTCAAAGGAATTGTGCTTAGTGAAAAAGCTGGCCTCTGATGGCTACATATATTAGGATTCTACTTATATACCATTCTCAAATTAACAGTTATAGGGGTGAACTCAGCAGTGTTCAACAGAAGGAGGAGGAGGAGGAGGAAGTGGTGGTGGTGGTGGTGGTACAGGCAGTGAAGGGGATGCAGGTGAAGGTGAGAGGCTGAATGTCCTGCAGGATCAGAAGCAGCAGAGACATGTGACCCTGAATGTTGCTGGACTTGTTTTAGAAACAATGGGTTTGGTGTAGATAATAAAGAAGTCCTGGGGTTTGGAGCATACTAACAGGAGCTGAACTTGGACAGATGGGATACCAGGTCAAAAAAGAATAGAAAAAAAGATGTTGCCATTGGGGGAAACTGGGCAAGGACCATAGAGGATCTTTCTTACTTCTTGTAAGTATATACGAATGTATAATTATCTCAAAATAAAAAAAAAAAAACTTTTTAAAAATCATCAAGCTGTATGAATGTCACCCAAGTAAGTAGTCTCCATTTGGGACTTCCCAGCTTCCAGTACTGTAAGAAATAAATCTCTGTCCTTTATAAAATATCCAGTATTACAGTAGCACAAAGTACAGTAAGACAGGTATACTAGCATAAGATTTTGGAAAGCAAACTGGTAATATTTGTATAGAATACTAAAGACATAGTCTTAACACAGGAGATGAGGCGTGGCAAAGAACAGCTGAGAAAGAGACTAGCTATAAATAGAGCTGACTAAAACCCCAGGATGCATGCACAGAACAGTCCCCAGAACCCTGCACATGGACTTCTCGAGGTTTTTGATAGCACTGCCCAGACCCGACATCAGCTTGAGCTTATTCATTTTCCTACTTTTACTTGACCCAAACTTGCTCTGCAGAGCGTTTCTTTTCTTACCTTTAATAAATGTAAAACCTTACCACCATCTGCACTTTGTCTGGACTAGTTTTTGCTCGGGCATAAAGAATCTAGAAACCACCTCCAGAAAAAGGCTCCAGACCCTGAAAACCCCTAACAGCCTCACTATGTAGTCCAGGGTCCTCTTCGATCCTTGATCTTCCTGCCTCGGCCTCACAAACACTGGGATTATAGGCCACGCACCACTGCCCCAGGCAAGGAAAAAAACTCTTTCAATTCCGCCACCACCACCAGGTGCAATGGCACAAACCTGTAATCCTAGCACTGAGACAGGCTGAGGCAAGGCACCAATTTGAGTCCTGCCTGGGCAATTTAGGAGACCGGGTCTCAAAATATATTTTAAAAGGTTAGGAATAAGGATCCGCGGCACAATTCAATCTCACTACTGAAAAAACAAAAACAAAACCCCCTACAATTGGCTCAAAAGTTCCATAGTAGGAAATCTATCCTGAACAATCTTAAATTCACAAGGAGTGTTTCATACAAAGATGCTAGTTACATACAGTGTTGCTTTAATGTTAAAATAAGAGGAAAAAGTTATATTGTATCATTTGCTGTCACTAAAATTTATTTTAAAAAATGGAAACTCCTACTTTATAGAGGCTCATAGACTATTAAAAGGTATCATATATTGTATGCTCTGCATGTATGCAATACAATTTTATTCGACCTTCCAATTCTTTGCTATATGCTTAGGGAGGAAATACACTGGCACCTCTGGTTGCCCCAGTTGGAGGCAGGGGAACCACTCCAGCTAAGACAAAAGAGCAGCCCTCCTGTGGTCCCCGCCAGGATGGCTGATGTGCACCTGGTGTTCATTACACTCTGCTTTTGATATTTGAAAATGGTCATAATAAAAGGGTTTTTAACAAGCCTGAGGTACATGAAATATTGACATTAATTATACTTATAAGTTAGGACCACATGTAGTTTCCAATCCTTTGAGTTCTTTCGTGTGTGTGTGTGTGTGTGTGTGTGTGTGTGCGCGCGCGCGCGCACATGTATATTTTGCACTTATCACGTCGATTCTAAACTTTTTGGGGTAAAGGTACGAGCAGAGGAAAGTCTTCTCCCTTTCCCCTGTGGAGGAGAGTAAATACGAACTTCAGTTCTTTCCTCATTAAATTCAAAGAGGACTGGCGCGTTTCTTCCCCTGAAGCCTCCTAATAACCCAGCGGTTTTATTTAGGAAGCTGCAGACTTAGCGCTGGGGTGTCTGTCTTTCCCAACTGCACTCCGGACTTGGGCATTTCTGACTGCTCATCTGGAGTTTTCCCAGTTGAGATCTGGTTCTGGATAACACGGGGCCTGCTTAGAGTCCCGGAAAGACAACAGCGGAGGAGGTTGGTAGCCCGGGAGAACTCGCCGAGGGAAATGAAACGAGGCGCAGGGACGAATGACTGCCGTCCCTCTCTTCCCTCTCCTTCTTCCGCCCTTCAAACATTTGACCTTTTCTTGGGAATGAAATAGGCAGCAGGTACAAGGCAAGGCGACCGGGACCGAGTTGGAGCAGGCGCGGTTCGCCGCCACCGCGGAAGCCAGCGTGGGTGGCCGCGGGCAGCGCGCTCTCGGGGAGTGCAGAGCGCCCCGGGCAGGCGACCCGCGCGGACTGCGCGCTTCCCGCAGCTGCTGCACCTCCGCGGTCACCCGAGACGCGGACGCTGACGCCGACGCCGACGCCGAACGGAGAAAACTTTTAAAATTGCAGAAGTCTTGGAGGACACGCGCGGGAGCGAGGCTGAAGTCAAAAGTAAACACCGAACAACAGAGTGTGGAGGGAAAGTTTTCCTCCGACGGCTTCGCCCACGGCCTCTGCAGGGGCCTGGGGGTGGGGGAGACACCTACCGGTGGCTTTCGGAGTCCCCAGATCCAGCAGCCAAGAGGCAAGGCCCCGGGCTTGCGCAGGTAAGATCCCCAGGTCCTGCTGGGCAGGGTCCGGAGGGCTCCGGGGGCAGGAGCGGCGTCACGAGGGTCCCGGCATCGTCGGGGCGTCTTCCAAAGCGGGAGTGGGGGTGCTGAGTCACGGATCTGTCATTGCTTCGTACCTTTCCGCAGCCCTCCGGGGGCTAAAGCAAAAGCGAAAGCGAATGCTCCAGGCCGGCGGCCGGTCCCCAGACGGACTGCGCTCGACACTTCCCCAGGGCCGGGCACTGCACGCGCTGCTAGCGCGGGGCGCCCTGGCGGGGCACTGCAGTGCTGACGGCCATGGTCCCGCGGCAGCTCCGGGGCTGTCGAGTCCACGCCCTCCGCGCCTTACAGCTGCTGCTGTTACTCCTCCGACCGCCGGCGACGCTGGGTAGGGAGCGGCGTGCGCCCGGGCGGGGCCTCGGAGGGGACCAGGGCTCCAGCCGGACGGAACCGCGTCCCTTCTCTCCCCGGGCTGGGAAAAGAGCGGGACGCGGCAGGACGCTAGGTGCTTGCAGGGGGCCGGGGAGGGAGCGGCACCGGCGGGAGGGACACGTGCAGGACGGCGCAGGTGCAGGACGGCGCAGGGACCGCGCAAGGGGCACGAAGGGCACTGCCGTCAGCAGGCTGGCGCTGACACCCGGTCACCCTTGCCAGGGAGCCAGAAACCGAGCCTGGATTTCCTTGAGCCGGGGAGGAAGGCGTTTCTGAGAAGTCTGGTTTGGCAATGGGAGCGGAACTGTCCTGCAACAGCGCTTTGGAAAAGTGTGCTCGCGCTTCTGCGAGGCCACTTGCGCGCGCTGTGCGGGTGTCCTTGCGCCTCAAGCAGTCCCCGAAGGGGTCTGGGCAAAACTGCCCTCGGAACTGTGAAGCAAAAGTAAATTAGATGACAAGATAGCTGGGAATATGGGGTAAGGACTACGTCCCCAAGAAGGAAAAAATCGTGTCTGGCAAGTTACACCTGGGGACCTGGGAACAACTCTAAGATCTTAAGTGGAGAGGAAGCGGCAAGCCGGGACAGGGAGCTTGCGCACCTAGCAAAAGGGAGAAGTTGGTGATGGTTTGATGTACTCGAGAGCGTGAATTGTGTCGTAGATCTAAAGTCGAATGGGTGACTCCAAGGAGTTTTGTTCAAGGAGCTAAAAGAGGGAGGAGAAAAGACAGATTTTAGCTGTGCCCTTGGCCACACAGCTTGTAAAGGAGCTCTTTCCCAGCCTGATAATAACCACGAACTCTTTCCACAGAAAAATGCATGACTGTACATACTTAGGAAATGTGCATAGGATTTGGGGCCAAGGCCATCTGTGAACATCCATGGGAGGTAGCAACTCCGCCACTTCTGTGCCTGTTTTAAACAGCATCCCCTTGATTACATCCAGGGGGACAGCCTGCCCTCCCACCCACAGTTGCTGCCTGGCTTGATCTGAACCCCATAGACCAACGGGGGTTTTGTGAAGTTTCATTTTCTTATGACTGTGATCCTGGATTTCCCCTACATCTGAGAAGCTGAGTTGTTAAGAGACCTGATCAGTTCCTCCCATCTGGCTAGCCAGTGTCCTGCAGCGATTCCTGAGGAAATGCTAGAAGTGGTCAGCCGGTCAGCAGCTCTACTGCAGAGATGCAGCTTCAGTTAGAGCATCTTCCTGGAAGTCACAGGGGAGCGATGGGGGTTAACAGGTCTCTGTAGCTCGGGGCATCACACAGTTTTGCTTTCTGGCCTTTCAAAAATGTTTCTGCCATAGGAGCTGGGGATTTAGCTCAGCGGCATAAGCGCCTGCCTTGTAAGCAGGCAGTTGTGAGTTGGATCCCTGGTACTGATAAAAACGAACAAGACAAAAAAAAAAAAAAATGTTTCTGCCATCAAGCTGCTCTGGATGTATGTTTGTTTGTCTCGTTGTTCAAAACAGCCTCATTAAAGCAGACAGTAAACTACACATATTTAAATTTAAAACATTTAGAGTGAGTGCAAAATTTAGAAATTTAGAGGTAAATGCATAAATTCATGAAACCTACACCACAATCAAGAAAGTAAACATGACTCCCAATACTAGGTTTCCTCATGCCCTGCCTCATCCTTACTGCCGCCTCCCACCCACAACTACTTATCTTCTTTTCTGTTACTATTGCTATATCGCACTTTCTAGAATTTTGTATAAAGGGAATTATACAGCATATACTCTTTATTGTTTACTTCATGCACTCACTAATTATTCTGAGAATCCATCCATGGTGTAACTTGTATCACTAGTTCATTCCCTTCTGTGGCTGAACCCTCCCATCCCATGATTGTGCCAACATTTATCCAGTTAAGCAGCCTTTGGATGGTTTATACTGTGTGGCTTTTATGTGTAAAGTTGCTATGAATATTCATGCTATAGATTTTTGTGTAGGTGTATGCTTTCATTTAGTTTGGGTAAGAAATGGTTAGGAAAGACGTGGCTAATTCATATGGTAGGTGTATGTTTAACTTCTTAAGAAGTTAAACCATTGTCCAAAGTGGTTGTACTATTTTACCTTCCCAGCAGCAGCACAAGAAAGTTCCTCCAGATGGATGTTGGCACTTGGTATGAGAAGCCTTTTAAACTATATGCATTCTAGAGCAGGACCAAGAGATAGAGAGATGGAGGAAGGAAGAAAAAGAATTAAGCTGTGTTACGTACATGTACCAACTTCCCATGATGAATGTAATCATGATGTACCACAAACACGTACTAATAAAAATTCAAAAACTAAACAAATTTTACCCATTCTAATATATATTAGTGGTCTCTCATAGTTTACTTTGCATTTTCATAATTGGTGATGTTGAGCACATTTCCATGTGCTTTTAAGAAGTGCCTTGTGTATCTCTTCTTTAATGAAGTATCTGCTTAAATCTTCTGCCTTTTTAAAAACTGAGTTATATATTTAACAGTTTTGAGAGCTCTTTATATATTTTAGATACAAGCCCTTTACTAGGTATATGATTTGCAAATATTTTCTCAGACTCTGTGGCTTGTCTAGTATTGACTCTCTTAACTCAGTCTTATGAAGAGCAGAAGTCTTTAATTTTAAAGATTCGTTTATTTATTTATTTATTATAATGCTTTTGTGATATATTAAAAAAATCTTTCCTAAGGCCAAGATCATGAAAGTTTTTCTTTGTCTGATTTTCTAGAAGTGTTGTAGTTTTAGGATTCACATTTATGACTGTGATCCATTCTGAGTAAATTTTGTGTATACAGTAATTTGAGGTATGAATTGAAGGTTGTTTATGTTTGTTTGCTTTTTTATGTGAACATATAATTATTCCCAGACCATTTGTTAAAAAGGCTATCTCCTATGTCTTGCTCTTACACGTTTTGAATATGCTATCCGTGTATGTGTAGGTTGGTGGCAGTGTACAAAACATCAACATATAAAAACCAACTGTATGTGTATGTATTCTCACTTAACAATTGAAGATTGAAAATTTTTTCAAACGCTGCTTGTAATAACTTCAAAAGGTATGAAGTTATTAGGGGACAAATCTGACAATAGATGCAAATGATTTCTATACTGAAAAACAACAAACCATTGCTCAGAGAACCTAAGACTAAATCCATGGAGAGAGATACCGTGTCATAGATTTGGAAAATCAATATCGTTAAAGGGTCAAATTTCCCCCAAATCAAAGTTCTTTCAGGCTTTCTTGTAGAAATTGTCAGACTAATTCCAAAATTCCCATGTAAATATGAAAGACCTAGTAGAATCAAAACAACTTTGAAAAATAACTGAATAGGAGGAAATCTCCCTGATTCTGAGACTGGCTGTAAAAGTCCCAGGGTGGTGTTGATGTAGACAATGACAAAGAGCTCATAGGACTGATATGGTATTTTAAAAATGGTCTTAAAAGCAAAAGAGACTCAAATTATTAAATTTGCTACTTGGTTGTATGATTCTGGTCAGAGGTTATAGAGAACAGCATGTTCTTTATTAGTGAATATCAGTCTCCAATCTGTTCATGCTAGTCTTCATACTATGTACAAAATATTGAATGGTTGACACCAACCTAAATGTTCAACACTGGATGGTTACATAAATATGGAGCTATTTTCAAATAGTATGCAGCATATAACTTAATTTTGAGTAGAAGATTTAGAAGTAGTTATCTTTCAACAGGAAAACACTGTATATCACTAGTATGTGTACATGTATATAGTTGTCTGCCTTTTCTTATTTTTTCTGTCATAATTTGGTTCTGCAGGAAGAAAGATGGATTACTAGGTGCCTAGAGGCCTTGATTCTTTTGTTGTGTCAGCTTTACCGTGAGCTTCATGAGAGAAGGAACCGCATATTAGGCTTCTGTATATCTCACATTGTAGGTGATTCAGTATAATAATAAGTGAAAGAAAATGTTGGAATGGTTTCTGACTCTGCTGAGCAAATGGGAGGGGCATGCTGACCTGACAACTTTTGAACTCTGGATAGGAGAGTAGGTCAGGGCTCCTTGTTCCTATTAGACTCTATAAATTGACTTTATGGATAAAGAATCTTGACCACAGGTTCTGGAAAGCAGAAAGAGGAGTGGCCTTAAACACTGTTTTGCTATCTTCATTTAAATGATCATTATGGGTTTTTGTGTATATTTTTAAAGTTATGTGAGAGTTTTAAAACCTCAGCACCTCAAGTTGGATTTAGTTTCTGTTACTTCATTCATTCCAGTATATGTTTTCATAACCTACTAATTTCAAAAATATATCTGTTGTATATGGGGCTTAGAATTGTTAGATACCTGAGGACTGTGAAATGTATGCATTGTCTTCAAGAAACTTACACTATTATAGACTAGGTGAGCTTTGTCTATATTGAATATCTAAAGAGCAAAGCTATGAGAGAGTTTGTAGATATTACAATTGAGGTATCAAAAGTTTCTGGAAATGAAAATTTATGGCTACAGCTAAATGTGTTATCTCCAGTGTAGTAATGAGATAATCTGGCTAAGTGACTGTCTACCACTTGACTGGTTGATTTGGCTGCAGTATACTGATATCTTTATGCATTCAAATATCAACAATTCCTGGGTTTATCTTTGTTTGAGGACCATCCACAATGGAAAGATTCCAAGAAACATTCTTTCACAGAAAAAAAAAAAAAAAAACAGAGTAGATATTGCAAAACCTCCCGCTCTACAAAACTCAGAAATGATGACATCTTTTTAAGTCCATAGTTGATAAATGACATTCAGCTATTTAGCTGGGTGTGATGATGCACACCTGTAATCCCAGCATACGGGAGGGTGAGGCAGGAGGCTGTGAGTTGGAGGCCAGCCTGGACCCACACAGTGAGTTCAAGACCAAGTTGAACTTGAAAGCCAGACCTGCCTCAGCACAAACCTGTTTAAGCCAATAATAATAATAACAATAATAGTAA